TTTTACGGCAAGACTTAAAATACAAACAAAGCAAAATAAGGTTTATTTTTACTGTTACGTTTTCACTTGTTACTGCCTTTGATAAGGAACTCGATGTACATGGCATAACTTATTTGAATCGAGAGGATTGTTGTTACGAAGGAAATATGAAAACAGTTGAATGATCCTACCCGTTTTCTTATGGAGGAAAATTTGAAAATAAATTATAAGGGTGGGGGATGTGACAAAACAAACCAACCCAAGTTAACATATAATTAATAAGTTAGAAGTTAAATCTGAATCATTCAAATTTGGTAGAAATTAAAATAGTATTGTGTAATCGCGGGCGTTAACAGGTTCTAATTATTTCGAGCGACGAAAAGCCCTCGGACCAAAGGTTCTCAGACGTTTTGTCGCCGCTCGAACTTTCAGATCCCTTATAACGCCCGTAACGTGTAAACAACTATTTATCAACCTTATTTTTTGCTGAACCTCCCCGGTAAGTTGGTGAGCGCGCGCGAGAGCGATTGTGACTACACAGCGGTGAACTGGCATCAAGCTATTGCCAACCCCCGGTTGTGACGTTATCTCTGACGGAACACTTCTCCATGCAATCTTGAGTTTTCGTAACGCGTACGCATACGTTCATCGACATTCATTTATTCGATACGATTGGAATGTATTCGCACAGATTTGTTGTGAATTTGAGATGTCTAATCATTACAGAGGCAAGCAAATGATATGAAAACTGCAGACGAAAAGACGCTTCGTCATAACTCCCGAAAAAGTACAATTACGTTTGCGAAGCAATAGAAAAATGAAGAAAATACTTGGAGTAGATGTGCAAATATGGTACAGCATTTTGCAGCTTTGCCAGTGGGACAGGTCATGTTAGACTAACTAACCAGCAATAAGTCAGGCTAACAATCTGGACTTGCACTAACATGCAAGTCCGGTAATGCACTAACAGAAACAAGTGGAAAAGACCTAAATGATTATGATTTCTTTCAAAACCTTTTAAGATCATGTGCTGAAAACGAGGCAGGATTGTTTACAAGTAGATATATTAAGAATATTTTAAAAGATCCAGAAAGCTAGTAAGATTAGGATAAAAAAGACAACAAACAATGATTGTAGATGATGCTGTGCACAAGATTATCGAGACTTCTCAAACTTCGTCGTTTTTGAGTTAAGTACGATTCTATTTTTGAAATATTTGTCTATTCTTCAAGTAAAAATTGATGAAAATAATTCAGAAGCAGGTATACAGAGTAAAGCGTTGCCTTCCACCGCGAACTAAACTGCTTTGCTCAGTTTAAGAAACCTTCCTTCCCCAATCATACGTTTCTTGGCGTGACACTGTTCTTGTGCAACGACGATCTCTTACTTTCCGCTGGTCAAGCTGTGCCCGGAGGCTGAACTAAAACCAAGAAGATAATCATTCACTGCAAACTAATACCCTATATTATGTCACAATGACACGCACGTACTACATAATTTGAGGAGTACTGCAACCAAACTACAATGAAAATAAAACAGATATTAAAAGTAATTAAAAATACTGAATTTTACTTTTGTTTATCTCACAACTTAAGTTGTAACTACTGTTCACGTGTATTTGTGGCTTGGACCAGTCAAATAAGGCAGTGACCCACATTTCCCTAAAAATCTATTAATAAGGTAATAATGTATGTATGTATGTATGTATGTATATACTTGGCGCGACAGCCCGTAAACGGGCACAGGCCTACCGGCGACATCCCTGTCTCACGGCCATGGGTTAAGGGGGTACGTGTGGTTAGCACGTAAACATCCCCACCCCGTATTCCGGTCTTCTCAACCTGAGAAGTGAATTTTATCATCGTCACACAGCAATATATTACTGGGACATTGCAAGGAAAACGCACACTATAATTTTGCCTGTCGAGGAATCGAACCCGGGCCCGCGTAGTGGAAAGCGATCATGCTGACCAAGAGCTAGCCAAGAGCCATTAATAAGATATCAACGAAAAATAGAAACTGGCTTAATAGAGAGAATTTTGAATACCCTCTGAATGCACTTGAATATCAGACTATCTCCAACTGTCCATTTATCTTTGCCAGCGGTCATTCTGATCCTGCCAATCAGGCATTCCCAACCACGCGCCCAGGAAATCCCACACCATCAGAGAACGCCGTTGTAGGACACAAAAAACAACGGCACATCGTTGCTGGTGAAATGATATGGATTGTTTCAAAAATAATAATTCCGCCTAGGATTCCGTTACCCTATCAAGTTAGTGTCAGCGTGTGGTACCTGTGACAAAGCTAAAGGTTCCTCTGCATTCTGGAAGTGCGGAAACATTTAATTTTTCTTGGCCCACTCACCTCAACTCAGCCCCTACCTCTCTTAGGTCACAGTTTACAGGCACGAAAGGAAATTGAGAACAAACGCCTCGGTTTTGAACGTATTTAAATTTCATGATTTAGAAACAAACATGAGATACCCGTGTCAAACAGCTGTGAGCTGTTTGAAGGACACATGCGGCCGTTCGGTGTATTTCTTGCGACCCAAGCGTGTGTACAATATTTGAAGCTTGGCAGCTGATCTTTTGACTTCCACATTTCTTCAGAAAAAACAAACACTTAATGTCAAACTATGCATTGTGATAGAAACGTTGCCTACGGGACCGTGTAGTCAATTGATAATTTCCCTGGCCCCATATATCTAGAGTAGGAAACGAGTAGCAATGTGATTCGGCCGTAACAGGAATCTATTACGATTCAATAACATAAATCAGGCTATGTTAGAAACAGCCAGCTTTCAGAAGCTTGCGTTGAAGAAAGTTGTTTGCATGAAATGCGAGTTTAGAAGCGTTTGCAATGTAGTTGTCCGGTAGCTTGTTCAACGTTCGTGACTCTGCACTGGTTGAAGATGACATCCAGCTGAAGATTCCTAACGAGAGCTTGTCTTTTCAGGAGACGTAATTTTCATGCAAAAATGGAGCAATATATCGCATAATTTTTGGCATTAAAAAGTTTAAAACCAAAACTCAAGATGTGAAAAATTTTTCATACTTTTCCTTTCGAATTCTGCCAATGTGAGAAATCATACTTCTCTACTGCTCCACACGTTATATTACGTATTTTTTCTTTGTCATAAGACATTACCCAAAGTGCGCGCATGGGAAATTTTCTCCAAGATAACTCTTCTTTCAAACCTCGAGGTAGGGGGACGAATTTATGGGCGAAACAAAGACCGTTTTTGCTTAAGCAGCACAGTATGAATAAATACCAAATATGCTCTGGGGAAAATTTTATTTTCTAATCTCCTTGATTTGAACTTTCTAAAGTGAAAACAGTAAATAGGGCGAATACGAACGTCAAACTGTCTAGGATCCGATACCCGGTATCTCCTGTGAGATATCTCCTGATATCATAATTATAATTATTATCGCCGTCATCATTATGATAAACTTCCATAATTCAACTTTGTGTTTCTGTGGCAATACCCACTTTGAAATAGTTTCTTTGTGCTTTTTCCACTGCACTAGATAGGTACTGCGTGTCGAGGCGTGTCTATTGAAACGGCCGTACAATAAAGTATGTTGTTCAAGTAAGATTTATTGAGGTTAGGTGAAGGGTATTCAGGGTCGTGTAGACTTCAGGTTCTTTTACAATCGGCATGGAATAATTGCCTTTCCTTCCCTTGAAATTAAAAAGGGGTCTGTAAAATTATTCATAACTCACAGAATGACTTGGTGCGTTACAGCTGGGCTGTTCAGGTGAGCTGCTCATTTCGCGTTCTTTGACCCACAGCTTTCATGCGGGCCAGCGATGTTAGCCAACGCTTCTTGAGTCTCCTAGGCCGACGGCATGAGGACGGAAGGGGAAACGGTTCTAGTCTAGTTAAAGGGAAGTGGCACGCGGACCACTGCAGCGGTCAACCACGTGCACCCTGGCCCCGATACTGGTATTTGAGCAACCCTTCATCACAGTTTGTTCTTTTTTTTTTTTTGCACATTCACATGTGCAGTTTTTTTTGTAAGGTTCTAGGTTTGACGTTGACAGATTATTGCGCGCATTAGCAAAATAACTGAGAAAGTAACAATGTGATCTTCGTGACAGCCAGCTTAAATATCGGCTGTTGTGATCTGTTGTTCGAGTTTTTTTTCCGTTAATTGCAGTCGCATGCCGAATTATTTTCTTAAATCAATACAAGAATTTGGGCCGATCCGGTGGCCGAGATCGCTAAGGCAGTAGTGCTGTAGCGAACTCGGACCGAAGGATCGCGGGTTCGAGTCCCGCCTCGGGCATGGTTGTATTGTGTTTCGTCCTTTCACCCCCTATCATCATTATCATTATCGTGTCAACCCACATTTACCATACCGTTACAAGCAATAGTGGTCGCTAATGATCTAGTAGTTGATGCGACCTTAAATAACAAATAAACAAAACAAAAAAAAAAAAGAATTTGGACTGGATTGCCCGGAATGGCGCACTTCACTTACTCACGTACCACATACACAAAACTAAATACGCGTCCTACGTTGTTGCGTGCCTCTTTCACCAAACAAAATCTCTTGATGACAAACTGACCTCCATCCAACTTCTTTATATAATGAAGAATCTACATGATATTTTTGTCGGAATAATTAAGACATTTGGAATTGTCACTCGCCTCACACAGTCTCCTAGTATAGAGCTGCTGATTTACGCACTTCGCATTTACGCGTCGCCCGCTGCTTTGTTTAGTCAGCCTGTCGATTGGGGAAGGGAAAGGAGACGATCAGGCGGGATCGACTCTAGTCTAATTAAATGCGAGTAGCACGCTGACCTCTACAGTGGGATACTGTCAGTGGTCTAAGCCTAATTCTGACATTAAGGCAGCGCTGGATTAATGCACAACAGACTCTCTAAAGATCCGATCCGTTCGCTGAGAACATCTTGTCGTTTCGCATGTCGTTCGTTTCGCTTCGCATCTTGTCGTTGGTCGTTTCCCTCGTTTAGCACGCGAACGAGTGATTGTACTACGGGCGCAGGTGCTGAGCAAGCAGACGGGCAACCTGCTGGTGTCGCCGCTGAGCGCGTCGGCGGTGCTGGCGCTCACGTGGCTGGGCTCAGCCAGGCAGACGGCTCAGCAGCTGGGCAGCGCGTTGCACCTCCCGCAGGACTACCAACACGTCATCTACGGCTACAGGGCGCTCTTCAACTCCTTCCAGGTAAATTTCTTTACCCTCAGATACCGACATTAATTCATTATTTCTGATGAACGAGTACAAACCAAGTAGCAATTATTAATTTTTATTCCAAGAATAGAATCAAAGAATATTTGAAAGGATTAAACATTCGACGATTGAACGAAATATACCAATAAATTTTCTAAAATTGTCGAAGGTATACAAATTTGCTGTTCTCGCTAATAAAACGTCCATTGAAAAGCAAAGAAAAAATGGTTCCGAAGGTTAATTCCAATGTTTATAGGTCAGCACTAAGCATATTATTTCCAATATTAACTTAGACTTTTTTTTCTACTATACATTTTTGTGTCAAGCGCCTGCCTGCAAGTGAGAGACCACCGAATTGCAAGACGAAACAAAAATATTTTTTAATATCTTTCAGTAAAAGGAAAAGTTATTTACAGTTCGACGTAGAAAGAAACGCTTAGACTTATTAAGCCCAGGAAAGAATATAACTAATGAACTGTCGAGAGGCAAGAGAGTGATTAAAGCTTTTCTCTTCCGCAGACACTTTCCTTGTCAGCACCATTTCCACGTGGCAGGTGCCACGCGACATGGTGTCTCGCTACGCATGCCATGTAAATAGGCCTTACGATAAAGGCGTTAAGACACAGGTGTTAGTTCAAATAACATTTTGAGACATGACATATCGTAGCGACATGGTGTTAAGTGTACATGTGTAATGTGCTGTATTTCGCAGTGTTTTTCGTCTACTCACCCACCGGACGATCATAACATAAAAATGATAGAAATTCCAAGCCACATTATGTACCCATTTTATTTTATTCAATTGTTTGCTTGCTTAGCCGATGTTTAAGCGGCATGTGTTTGGTGTGTGTCGCCCGCAGGCCCGTGACTCGCGCGTGCGTCTGTCGCTGGCCAACCGCGTGTTTTCGTGCGGCGCGGCTCGGGCTGCGGGAGGACTTACCGCCGCCTGGCCAACAGACCTTCCTGGCGGGCGCCGACGAGGTGACTTCTCGCGCCCGGGCCGACGCCGCCTTCCGCGCCTCAACGAGTGGGTTGCGCCGTCAAACACCAACGGCAAATGCGAGAGCTCTTCAGCGAAGGTAGCAACATGAACGCACCCAACCCGCACACATTGCACCCACCGCGCAACTTGCACCCACCGCACAACTTGCGCACCCACCCGCACACTTACGACCCACGCACCCACCCGCACAACTTACACCCCACGCACCCACCCGCACACTTACCACCCACGCACCCACCGCACATTACACCCACCCACCCACCCGCACACTTTACACCCACCAACCCACGCACTTGCACCACCCACCCACGCATCTTGACACCCACCCACCGCACTTGCACCCACCCACCCACGCACTTGCACCCACCCACCCAGCGCACTTGCACCCACCCACCACGCACTTGCACCCACCCACCCACGCACTTGCACCCACCCACCCACGCACTTGCACCCACCCACCCACGCACTTGCACCCACAGATAGGCACTCACCAACCACGAACACGTTCAAACATACACACATGCTTTAACTGCACATACACACAAGCAAGCACCTCAACCACATGGACGCCCTTTCTTTCCCTCTGCACCTTGCCTCTCGTAGGGGACTCTGACCCGGAGATCCTAGGGCTGACGACCCAACGATGGCAGGATTTTTGACACAGGCTAGATAGCCAAGTCAAATTCAGTTCTGTCTGGAGGAGAATTCTATCGATTGGTTGCACTGATCGATAGGTTTTCGCAGTTTCTCCTATCAATTCCAGGCGATTGACAAGCGGACCATGGCGTGCGCGACTTTTCCTTCCTCTTCTTTGACCTATGCTGGCCCTGATTTATGAAATACAATTGCCCTTACATGCACTGCACTATCACAATGTCGGGAGACCCGTAGGGTACTTACAGCTGGCCACGGCAGAGGCGGTGCCCCGCTGATACCTGGTTGAGAGAAAACCCTGCAAGCCGGTATATAGGTCGGCGCCTGATCTAACCATCCGGCGGGGTAGAACACCGCCACCTGCCGTGTTAAAAACTAGCGCTACACTTACGAGTTTTCGCCGATATATTATATTATTCTTTTAGATTCTTTAAGAATTTTTAATTGTTCACACCATTTTTATCCTCTGCTTCGACAGGTACCTCTAAATAATTTAATACACACAGTCAGCTGTCAAATTAAATATCTTTGAGCGAACGTTATTTTGGCAGGTTACTAACACCTCTTGACCCTTTGTAAACCTGTACATCTGGTAAAACATAAATGATTTTTGATCGATGTATTATTGGAATCAATATTTTAATTTTGTTTCGATTTTGGTAATATCTATGTTTTACTAGTTCGTTTCCCTAGTTTATGCGGCGTAGCCGATGCGAGTGAAATCCCAAGCGTACGCTTGTTCCAGACCAGCTGTCGGAGAGCACGACGCTGCTGCTTGCGAACGCCGTGTACTTCAAGGGGACGTGGCAAACGAAGTTCGACTCGACGCTGACGTCGGAGCAGCCCTTCCGCACGCCCAAGGCGATGGCGGCGGCGGCGGCTGCGAAGGCGGCGGATCCCGCGAAGGCCGGCGACGCCCTGCGCAGCAACGCGCGCACCGTCGCCCTCATGAGCGTCACCGGCGACTTCCCCTACGCGCGCCTGCCCGACCTCGAGGCGCAGGCCCTGCGCCTGCCGTACGTCGTAAGTGCCTGCCCTCCATCTCTCCGTCCGCCTCCTCTTCCATCTGTCCCTCCTTCTCCAATTCCATCTCTCCCTTCTTCGCCTCTTCCTCCTTTTTCTTCCCCTTCTTCCTTGTCCTCTCACTCCATCTCTTTCTTCTTTCTCCATCTCTTTCTTCTTTCTCCATCTCTTTCCCCTTCCTCCATCTCTTTCCCCTTCCTCCACCTCTTTCCCCTTCCTCCATCTCTTTCCCCTTCCTCCATCTCTTTCCCCTTCCTCCATCTCTTTCCCCTTCCACCTCTCCTTTTTTCTACTTATTTTTCTCCTCCTTCTTCATGATACATTCAAATGAGTGGAATACATTGATTTGGAGTCAATATCCAAACAAAAACCTACTAGTATTGCACTTGAATCATATTAAATTTGTGAGTCAGGAGTAATTGAAAATAAAATTATTAATTTATGTTTCCTCGGTATTTTATGAAATACGCTGACGTACGCGTCCCGCAAAGTGCAAACTTTGACGTACGCGTCCCGCTAAGTGCAAACTTTGACGTACGCGTCCCGCTAAGTGCAAATTTATAATCAACATACAGTCAATGGAATCAGATACCGTTTCTATGAAGAATTGTTAAAAAGAGCTACTAAAACGTACGGAATGGCATTTACTTTTATTTCCACTCGTCCGTGAGCTCTACGAGAGGTTCACGTTCCGTGTGGTCGCAGGGAGATCGCGTGAGCATGCTGGTGCTGCTGCCGGACGCCGTGGACGGGCTGCCGCGCCTGGAGGCGGCCTTGTCGAAACTTGAGGTCTCGACGGTGTTGGCTCAGCTGCACGTGGAGGAGGTCAACGTGTGGTTTCCTCGCTTCTCGCTGCACACCACCGTCCCGCTCAACGGCGCCCTCCAGGAGGTAAGAACTCGCCCTCCATCTCAGCGCAGGTCTCGCTGAATCCACCAGTAGAATAGTTCTTTTTCTCGCGTTCGTTTTATTCAATTTCGCGAAAAAGGATCCGTGACTTCGAGTTTTTGTTTCATTCTCACACCTACATCCAACAGCGAACACCTCGGTAAGTCAATGAGTGGAGGCTTTATTTTTACTATGCATCTTTCGGTTCCAACATACACACACACGCTGAGAATTTCCTCTACGTGCATCCATCGTGGTAATGACCATTGTCTCCATCCTCCACAACGATGTGGTTTGCGTGCCAGAATCGGTCATTGTACATACAATATTGGGCAAGAGTATATCGTGAGACCATCTTTTCTGGAGGTTGGGAGATAGGCGACGCTGGAACCTCTAGACCCTATCTTCGGGCACATAATTTTCCCCATGTTTACAAACATTTCCGGGGAAGTAAAAACGATTAAAAGGGCGGATTACACTGATTTCATTTACATTGATTTCAAGGGTGTATTAGAAATTTACACAAACCTCCACACACACCATTCATGGCATATTCGAAGTTCGGATGTACCGCTTACTTGTATCCAAAACTTCTTCCGTATGTTCTCCTGTCAATCCAAAACGTAAACATTGAGTTCACTGTCCCGTAACATAAACATAAACATTGGGAGGATCATACACGTTTGTGGTGGGATGCAAGAATGTTTTGACAAATGGGTAAAGCATTGAATGAATGTTAGAAATGTGGAATGCTCGTTTTTAACTAAATAGAAACACTCTTTAGAGAGGCAATTCGAATTAATATTTTGACGAACAGAGCGGTAGGTAGAGAGTCGGGCAGATAGACAGACAGTAAAAAGGCGGAGGAGAATGGCAAATGGATTGAATGACGAGCAGATATAATTGATAGTAGAAGGTAGGACAGACTAGAACGGCGGGCGGCGGGTGGGCGAGCGGATAGACGGGCACATGGATACGAATGGAGAGCTAGATGGACGGAAAAACAATTTTTTTCTGCAAATCTCGACACTTAATTTTTCCATTATGATATACTTTCAAAACCAACTTAATCAAGAAGAAAAAATAATTTTGATAGACACAAACTGTGAATAAGCTTTTGAACTTCCAAATTTTTCATTCAAATCCAGACGTAAAGAAATATGTTGAGGGGTATATTTCTGATGTGATCATCAGAAAAGCATATTGGCTTTCCCAGTAGATATATGTTAATGGATGCGATAGGGGAAATCATTTTAGTGTTTTTCATAGAATTCCAAATCTCAATAAAGTTAAATGTCCCTCCCATACATGCGGTCAAATCTACAGATGCTGTTTCTTTGCCCATCTCCGTGCGTTACCATTAGCTCTTTGGTTCAAGAAAAAAAAAATTGAGGAAGTTCGTGTTCCACATTTTTGTAGAAACTAAGCTTATAACATAGTTTTCTCTTCTTTGCATTTTGCAGTAATTAAGAACTGTATTAGAGGTGGAGATTTCGTTATGTCAACGTGTTGTGTGTGTATAAGTGGAATTTACCATACTGCTGCACGCAACATTCTGACAATAATCTGTCCTGACAAGTGCGTATTCCAAATTCCGATAATCGGTCCACCACTACCTGCCTAAGGCAGAAGAATTCGCGGGAAAAATGAAGATTGAAAATTTGAAAGGACGTTCTGTTTGGTGCTCTGGATTCACAGAACAAATATCATTTCTGTTATAAACATTTGTGGAGGAAGGCTTCAGCGAATGAGTAATAGCGAGCGCAAAACACAAATTGCACAAAATTGCATGATCATTCGCCTCCCCATCACGATGCCCCCCCCCAATTCGTTTCATTCACTCCCCCATCCGCTCAGAGAAGCTGTGGAAGGAGTGCTTCACATTATCTCACATCCGCTCTAAATAGATATGATCTTGACGTACATTGTTAAAATATCTAGAATTACTATCGCTTAGAAAAATACGTTATATTTTTACCTATGTCTGTTGCTACTTCGAGTCATTAATATCATTTATAATAAGAGCAAAATGACAGTTATATTGGATCTGCATACGCTGAACTCCTGTGATGAATTCTAAAAGGCAATTCAATAATCATTAAACACCTTTATATAGTAAAAACATATTAACTTTGAAAACAATACAATTTGAGGTGCCGCAACACAAATATGTTCAGTGTCAACTTCCTTTTTATATTTTCTCTGAAAACATGCATTCATGTCTACATTCAATCAAAACGCACACACACATATATTTACAAGACCTGCACGATTAAGAAGCACTACTCAACACTGTGAAATGCCTCAGGAAGATTGCACCATGACTCCAAAACATTGGCATAGTGTCTAGGACGCGGCGTCTCCCGGATAGCCAAGTTGATAATACTCCGGTTGCGGAAACCTAATCTTTTAACCCTCTTTTTGCAAATGGCAACTCTTTGCCCTACATGCGTAATTTATTGGCTCTATTCCGAATTTTGTACGTTTGTGAATTGGACTTATCGGGGAGATTATCAGCATACGCCCCTTATTCTAAAATTGAACATTTAAACATTACTCCTGACAGTCTTAAATGTTAGTATTATAAAATATAGGTTCTCGATTTATTAACGTAACTCTCCAACTTAAATCACTGAGGAGGATACCTAAGTATTTATAGCTGGGGTCAAATGCAAATGATAACTACTTAATTTATAAGTAACGTTTTCCTAAAAAACAATTTCCGACTTTGTTTAGATTTATCTTCAAGTTTCATCCGACACCATTATGTACGCCGATGTAGGTCTTTTTGCTAGATTTCGATATCTTTCGCGCCCATAGCTTTCCCTAGCATATTTCCCGCGGAACACCTCAACCTGTTACATCTGATTTTTGATGAGAGTTGCCTTGAATTTTTATTCTGGGAACGCCAGCTGGGAAACTTCTTTATCACGAAAGAATTCTACGATCCTCGCTTGATGCAGCAAGTTTCAGAAGAGCCTGCAATGCAGAACTAACTCGTATGTTGGAAAAAATCTTTATACCGCGTTTGGCACCGCCATCAACCTATCTGCTATATCCTAGTAGGGTCGGGACTTGATTACAGAATAACAACCCGGACAAAAGACCTGCTGTTCCTCGAAAAAGTCGTCCCGATTTAACCAGAAATTCCGTCCTCCTTAAGTATTCAATTGTAAGACTCCTTCAATGCAAAATCATGAGTCTTCTCCTGAAAGAACGGCATTTTAAATTTGAGACACTAATCGAAGTAGATATCCTCTGTTACGAACAATTATGTTTAGCAATGACAGTAAAGAAGCACTAGAAATATTTTCTTTTTAAATGAGAGTGTATCATGTGGTTCAAATAGATATCAATCATTTTTTAGTAATACTGTTGCCGAGATGTTAGTGACAAGAAATATTTCCTATGGATGTTGCTTACAGCGCGCTCTGTGAACATTCGATTAACTCACGATTACACAACTGCCTTCTCGCGGATATTAACACAACTAGCGCATTTTCGCTGAGAGCTATTTCTTGGCGATGGCAGCTTCTTATATTTTGATTCGAACTGTCATTATTCCAAAATATTAGCATTTTTCTTTCAGTTGAAATGTATACGATCATTCAATTGTAAAGATAATAGAATGGGTTTTAATATTATATAACCATACGAGCTTATAAAACAATAGTAATTATAATATATAAAACATATAAGAATATAAAACGTTATAAAACTAACGAGCTTATACTATAGGAAATCAGATACTAACATTCTCGTTTAGAATGAGATATTTCGAATGTAAAATTCGAAAGAAGGGCTATCATAGGAAAATGTTACTAAATATGAAAATTCAAGGAAGAATCGGAAAACAACTTTGTAATTTATTTATCTGTCAAATGTCACTCTATGCGACACCAACAACAGCTTAAGTATGCGTCGACCATCCCTATGCATCTGGTTTATCTCTACCCGGCATTGAAGAAAGCTCTCTGAGGATAGGACGTTTGCAACGAATGACGAAGTGAAGGCACAATGAAGAATGTTTGCGACTCCTACTTTTTCCTGATGGAATTTGTTAAACTTCTGCAACGTTATGACAAATGTAGAAACTCTTTGGTCCGTTCGTGAAAAATAAAGTTTGTCTATTCACATTCGTTATGTATTACACTGGCCCGCGAAATTAAAGTTTTTGAAAAATACAAGAAGCTTTTGGTTATTATGTTTTATGGTTCCTGCTGTCTAATGACCTCCATTTTTTTCATTAGTCAGGGTTTTGTAAAATCAATTATCGATATTTGGCTAAAATTCTATTTGATTGTTCTCTCGAATAATTTTGCGGTACTATCTAACAATAGTTGTTTTATTCAAGTAAACCTATGTAAATTGTAATCTATTCTTATTAAGGCATTGCTTGTTTCTAGAAATTATATTTTTATATATTTAAATAGATGAAATCCACTGTTGACAGATAGCAGGAGCTATCTATGGTATTGTATATCGTACTACTTTTTTCTTTGACTTCTTTTTGAAGTTGTTTTATGCTCAATCTCACGGCTATCTACTGTTGACATCCAACAGTATTCGGCGAGCATATTCTTGTTCCATCTTCCTTGAATTTGCACCCATATCTTTCAAGTTTGGTGTCACGTTGCATTATGTTCTTCGTTGACTGATTCGACATTTTCGAGGAAAAAGTTTACATGTTTTCCGAATAAATGTAAAATGAAGCAACTCAACGCTTGAAATTGTCCAGCATTATCTAACAACCAGTTTTTATTCAGGATCATTGTTAATTACCCGGAAATGTACTAATGACATTTTGAAGACAACATAAGTTTATTTTTCCTTGTTAAAAAGGCTAATTTCAATCATAATATCATAAGCTTGCGGGATATCTGGACCAACAGAGATTGTATCTTTCAACTTGGTTTGGAGACACCTGCAGTGTCCAACTCGTACAGATGCAAAACTGCTTCTGTGATGAAGTACGACAGCCTTAAGGCTTCTTTTTGATGAAT